AAAAATCTTTAAATAGCAAGAAACCTAAAAAAAAAAAAAAAAAAAGAATAAAAAAAAATCAGGGTGGCAATAAATTAAAATTTTATCCTATAGAATGTTTTCAAATTAATGAGCTTACATATTATCTCTTCCTCCCCTATCTTTAAAAAATATAGAGAGAGAGATTTCAAGCAGGTAATTATACCCTAGAAGAAAGTACTCCAGGTAAAAGAGGGCCACAGACCTGGCCCCTGGCTTCAGGGCTCCATTCTTACATCCCTCCCACTTCCTAAGAACTCCTGTGCCAGTGGTCACCACTGCTGAGGCCAATAATCACTACATGAGCAAAATAATAACCGAAGAAATAAGAGATACAGGTAGCATGGAAATATTGGTAAGAGGTGCCAGGGAGCTGATAAATATGACGCCTTTAGAAACAGGCCTAAACTCCCTGAAAAGACAGAACTTTCAAAACCTTTCTAGTCCCTTTCCTCATCATTCACTACTTCCAAGTCTCCACCAAATACCTAGTGCCAGAGCAGATTGCCCATTCCCAGCTCATTCTGTGTGTCTTTACAACTCCATGTTCACATATAAGCCATCAGTACCTTATGCCCAGACCACTATCCTCTTCTCTACATCTCAAAAACTCCCACCCTAGCCTTCACAATTGGATACAAGAGCTACCTGAAGTCCACTCTAGTGAGACAGCTTCTATTTCACAGTGCCTGGTACACAGCAGGTCAATAAATGTTGAACAAATGTTTGTCTATACAGTTTGCTTCCAACAAGTCTCTCTCAAAATATTTACCCCCCTCGAATTAATGATTAACAAGGCTCCCACCCTACTTGACAACCAAGTGCCCAGTTTAATGCCAGGCAAGCCTACAGGAGCAAATGAACTTGAACAGAACAAGCTGATACCAGACTGAAGGGAGAGATACTTGCAGATTATAAAACTTCAAAAAGTCAAAACAATTAAAAAGTTCTAGAAGAGAACTGAAGAAAGACTCACAGAAAGTCTAAAATGTGGGGGAAGAGGTGGACCAGAATTCCCCAGGTGGGACTGAGAAAAAGTTCCCCAGCTCCGACAAGATTTTAACTGACATTAGCTTAAGAATCTTGACTTGTCAGTTACTCCTCCATAAGTTCCCCAGGAACCTGACCTTTAAAATGATAAATGCTTATTGGTTTAAACTAGGAGAAAATGGCTAGGACTAGTAACTAAGTAGCTTAGGCCAGACTTCACCAGCGTCGGGGGCAGTACCTGCCAGTCCTCCTGGGTGAAAGGGCAGTCACCCCAGCACAGCACAAGGGAGGAGGAAACGCCAGGGGCAGACCACCAGGAAGGGACCAGTCTCTACCTACTTGCATGTTAGTATTCACATTTCAACTGAGAGCAGTAGTTGTGTCTCCACTGTCATTCACTTCAAAATGATTCCTAATTCCCCTTGTCATTTCTTCTTTGACCCAAGAGTCATTTGGAAATATATAGTTTGATTCCCAAAACTTTGGGAGTTTTTCCCCAGGTATTTTTCAGATATTAATTTCTATTTAACTTCGTTGGGGTCAGAAAACACACTCGTCTGGGCAGAGGACATCCTCAGTGTGACTTCAATGCTTTTGAATGTACTGAAATTAGATTTTGGCTCCCAAAATTTGGTCTATCTGGTGAAAGCTCCATGACACTTGAAAAAAAAAGAATAAAAAGGCAACTAAGCCAACTTGGTTTGATACAGTTGCTCAAGAGCATCCTCTGAATCCTTACTCAGTGCCCATCTCTCCATCATCAACAGAAAATGTTGGAATCGTCATTTGTAATTGCAGGTTTGCTCTTTTTTTTTTTATTTTGTCAGTTTTTGCTTCATGTATTTCTTTTTCTATTTTTAGAAGAGAAAATTAAAATGAGAATTTAAACTTAGGCATTTTGATCAAACTAGAGGTGTATTCTGGATAACAAAATGAAATACCACATGGGACCACCAGCTTTTCATTACACTTGGAATCACACTGGAGCTCATCACCATAGCCACCAAGTCCCCTGCACTCTAGTCACAATTTCTTCTGCCCCACCCTACAGTGTGTCCCCCAAGTTCCTGTCACGTAGGCCACATTTCGGTATTTTGGTTTCTCAAACACTAACCTCACTCCCTTCTCGAGCTTCTTCCCTGCTGTATCCCCACTTCCTCCAATACCCATCCCCTGATCCTCTGGCCTTTGACAGCTCAGTCCAAATACTGAAGGCAGGAGGACTTCCATGGCTATCAATCATTCTCATCCTCTCTCACCTCTCGACCACACACACACACACACACACACACACACGTTCATTTCTTTATTGTCTCTCTCCCCCACTACAATGTGAACTGAAAAGGGACAGGGCACAGGTGGTTTCCACTCTACTACATATGCAGCAACAAGAACATTAACTGTGACACAGACAGAGCTCAGGAACAAGAAAAAAGGAAGAAAGGTGAAAGGGAAGGAAATACTGTGAGGGGAGAGAGGGAACAGAAGGGGCATGATGGAAGGAGGGAGTGAATGGACACCCACTGTAAAGGGTTTTTACCTATTTCTTTAATTTAGTGCAATTTCCATCGTCATTGTGTAGAATAGGCCAAGCAATTAGTTAAACATACTACTGGGAGGGGAACCAGTATTTCTCTCATGTCTGCACATAAATGGAAGCTCTACTTTGTACCAGCTGTTCAAATTAAACTGCTAAAATGGGACAGCAAGAAGAAAGATATTTTGCCTTTTGGATGAAGCCTAGATCATTGTGTTCCAAGATGAAAGCAATTTACGTTCATCACCCGTCAATTACATAAAAACCAAATGAGGCATTACTCAGAACAAAAACTAAAGAGCAAAAATAAGGAAATATTTTGCCTAATAAGTTTACATCATCATTGAGATTTCTCCAAATCTTAAAGAATAAAAAATAGTGACCTAATACCTGCTTTCTAGATAATTATGGAATGTATTTACCTTGTTTCCTTATCTAAATCACTGCAAATTGCCTGAATACTGATTACCTTTGGGGGGCATGTAATACCCAGGAAAGGCAAAGTGTCCTAATTTGCCACCATAATATATTGCAAAAATTAGTAGAAAGAAAGAACTGTATTGCTTTTTATAAAATACCAATAAGTCAAGAACTTTTCAAAGTATCAAATCTAAGTTAATTCTATGAAAATTTTTGAAATTTAACCTTCTAAAAACTTATGAAGGGGGAAAAGAAATATAAAATTTCTTGTAAGAAATAATACTTGTCCTACTCTTTGCCAAGGAGTTACTGTGAATGGAAAATAGATTATATAACTGCCCAAACTTTCTACTAATAGTGACTAATTCTACAAAGTCACCACCAGAACCTACAAGTAAACTTAGTAAGACCAAAGAACATAAGGTCATTAAATAAGAATCAATGAAATTCTCATATATTCATAGCACACAATACTAAAATGGAATTTAAAAAACAAGCCCATTTGCAACATCAAAGATAAATATTTAGAAATAAACAAATAAGTACCATACAGCAGTGGTTCCCAATCTTTCTGGCACCAGGGACCAGTTTTTTGGAGGACAATTTTTTTCAGGGACCAAGAGTGAAGGAATGGGGATGGTTTCAGGATGATTCAAGTGCATTAAATTTATTATGTACTTTACTTCTATTTTTATTACATTGTAATATATAATGAAATTATTACAAGACTCATCATAATGCATAATCATTGGGAGCTCTAAGTTTGTTTTCCCACAATAGTCCTAGCACTAGCGGCACCAC